GTATTTCTATCTACTGATGAAATTGTCACATGCAAAATTGCAACCTATGGTAAATTGTGGGTTTTCGTGGCGCTTTTGTATGGGCACTAGGATTAACCATGTGTCACGTTGTCACGCGACGTCAAGGTGTCAATACATGTTGTCAAGTAATGTCACGTGACACCGTGGCGTCACGTGACTCACTGCGTCAACTCAATTTAATTTGAGGAATTCACTGGATGTATTAGCCTTGTTGACAGCGTGACAAAACAGGACATCACGATTTTGCACCGAGTCACGTGACACCGTGCGTAAGCGGTTTTCATAACAGCTAGTCGATTGCACGGGTTCTTGGCAGTCTGCATCGTCAAACATTCGGGTAACGGCTCATGTCAATTAAATATGTTAATAGCCCAACTCTAAAAATATCTGAAGCTTGACCCAAGCTTTTGCTTTCCAAACCCTAGCTGCCTAGGGCATGACTATGATGAACACTGACGGTATATAATTAGGGTCAGATCACGTGGCCACTTGTTTAAATTGCGAGTTGAGGAGCGGATCGACAGCTGTCTCTTTCCTTTATTTTTTCTGCATCTGCTATTGCGCGGAGGGTAAAACTAATGCATATTTTTGCAAGCTTTATACGTCAGGGGTTACTTCTTAGCAGTATTTATGGAAAGTACAAAAGAATGTTGCAAGACCAATTTTACATCTTTGAGGCACCCAAACATTTTTTCATTGCTGCTGAACTGCATCCGAAAGAAGTCGCCGAGAATAGAAGTTCTGAAATGACTAAATGCGACTTATTAATATGACGTTCGATAGAACTATATGTGTATACGGAAGGAATACTTTAAAAAAATATTTTAGTGACCTCAGAGGGACAGCCGAACGTTGGCAGTCGCTGTAAGTCTCACACGAGCGTCGTTCTCAAGTGACTGCCCAAGTTTCGACCCCCGTATTTCTCTTAAAGAAGCTATGAGAAGTATCCTATACATCACTAAATTCTACTCAGGATCACTCCCTAACGTTAATAACTAAATAAACCTGGCTTTGCTTTTTTTTTTTTTTTTTTTTTAGCAAGGCAATGGCATTTGCCGAAAAGTTAAAGAAATATGAGCATCGTTCATCCCCTCAACTCGGAGCCAGAAGCGGCCACGTGGCCTGGTGCCTGTCTTATTCCGCCAACGTTAATCACACCCCCGCGCTGGGATTGGAAAGGAAGAAAACGCGTGCTGGGGGGGAGCTCCAGGCATTGTTAAAGTTCGGTTATTCTCATCACCCCAGTGGTTGGACACGAGCCACTACCCAAGTGTCCACCGAGGCATTGCTTGTTACGAGCCGATGTACGGTGCTCACGCAGTTCTCCTGTCCAATCCATGAGCCGCGCTCGACTGTCGTCAGGCAGGTGATTTTGATTCTACAATTACGTCATCAATCTTTGCGAAGGCAAGACTAAAAGAAATAGTCCCATTTTTGGCCTCGCAATTTCACCGCGACAAAGAAGTGTCTGAATCAGTGGCGGCCTTTGCGAGTATACTTGGGTCAGACTAGGACCAATACGCCTCTGCAAAGTCATGAACATTCCAACCGGATATCGTTTTATGACCCTTTTAAACTTCACGGAGTGCAAAATTAAAGCAGTGAAAGGTTGATGTTAACAAGTGAAAACTAAAATTGTCGAATTAGCACACACGAACGGAGGAGGCTATTTCTCAGAAACACTATCAGCCTTTCCACTCCGGTGAAGAAAAAAGACCAGCGAAGCTGTACAATGGTGGAAATGAAGTAACTGCCGGCCGCAAGTCGGCAAGCCAGAGTGGAAAGGCTGGAGAGGTTGCCGCCATCTATGCGCGACGGCGGCAACCAGATAACCGGCAAGCCGGTGTTCTGGTTGGTGTCGTCACTTATAGACGTCGGTAGCTGTCCGGAGTTTAGTGTCGTCATTTGTTTGCTGACGGACGCGATACTGGGGCAACTAGCTCTTAATAGCTCCGCTGTAAAAAGAAGTGTGTGTGTGTGTGTGTGTGTGCGCGCGCGTGCGTCTGTGTGGGAGAGAGGGAGGTTAATTTTGAAAAACGACTGTGTTGTAAAGGTTCCTCTTCCCCGCATCTTTGGCGCAGACCAAAAAGCGCTCGCCCGCAAACTACTTTGTGTGCAAAAGGCTCTTGCCAAATAGCAGGCTTTTGTCTTTCCAGACGCTCGCGCCGTTCCTCACGACGATCCACAAATTGAATTCGATTTTCTCAGCAGGAAGAAATCACAATAGGGAATTGCAGTAGACCGTTTCCGCAGCCCGCTAAGCACCCGCATGGCGCTCCGTAAAGCGCCACAAGACCTTGAACTATGCAGACAAGGCTGGCGGCGCGCATGCGCAGCTGCGGCGTTCTCTTTGCGGATACCGTAGCGGAGGAGAAAAACCATCTACTACAACTCCCTATTGACCACCAGCCTATCGTGTGATGACGTCATTTGCATACCATGTTAAACAATTAAGCTTTCTGGTGAAATGTGATGTTTGCAAAAGTAGCAATACATGTCCTAATTGTAAATTTGAGCAATTTTTATAGCAGTCTCGCGATGATATATGGCAGCCTAGAGAAATGTTAGCGCGCATGGCTATTCAAGCATAGGGTTCTAAAGTGAGGGCCAAAACAGGTGCAGGTAAAACCGAATATAACATTAGCCTCCCGAGACAATATTTGGCGAAGTTTCGAGCTCATGGAAGCTGACAAAATGTGATTTATACTAAGATTTGAAGAATCTTTGTCTGTCCTTCACCCTATATATGTAAAACTATAAATTTCATTGCGTGCATTTTTACGCATATCTTTTTTCAGTAGGGCGTTAAGTAAGGGATTGTTTAGAAAAAATACATTATTTGTTTCTCTATTTTTGAACTTCCAATCTATTATCTGAGCACAGAGCCCTTTTTGGCGTACCCTGCAACCCGATGTTTCACACTGTCGATCAGCAAACAGAAAAACTCTTTTATGCAGACTCCACAGCTCGCGTAGTTTCGAATATTGTCCTTCCGCGTCGGTCTCAAGCGGTTAGGGGAACTTTATAAAGTAAAATTTATTGATCGGTATAAAAATATATTTAATTACTAACTGAATATTTGACATCATGAATAAGTGGCCGACCACCCTAAAGCCATGCCCCCAAATTACCTGAAAATTGTTCTGCCAATCTTTTTCACCGTTTCTATCCTCGACAGCCACGTTGTAAGTGATATGGGACAGCCTTAAACATATTCCTGATTTTGAAGCTAATTTAAATAACTATGTGTTCCTCACACATATAACTTCTCAAGCATATAGAAGTCTGTTATTGCTCTTTTATGTGGAGAACATGACTTTTATGTGTCTGTGGGCTGGACAGAAACAAAGTAAACAAGGGCGCGCGGCGGAACTATGACGATTACCGACGCAAACCGTCAGAAAGTGTCCAATTAAGTCGCTGCCATGTCGAGTAGAACGTGAAATACTATTTCGTTTTACTTAACAAAAAAGAATCTTGGAGGGCGCTTAACCTTCGCCTTTAAAAGTGGAACGCGATAGCCTTAACAGGGGACCTATGTTGGACAAATGTTTCGTTTCTCCTAAAAGAAACGGAAGTGACGACATCGCGTCTGATTGGTTGAGGCTCGAATGACGAAAGTTCCCTACAAAAATCTGGGCGGAGACGGCGAACCGCCATCATCGGAAGTGACATCATTTTGACTTATCATTTCCTCGGTTTTTCGTCTAAAAAGGGAACGAGTCTGTCGTCGTTCTCTTCGCCTCTTCGCAATGGGAAACACGGCGTCGACGGCGTCTCGGAGGCAGAGCGACAGCTTTCCTATCGTGGAACTTTTTTTTGCTCCGGAGTGGCTTTACCGGCAGCACCGCGATGCCTTCGAATTACCGGAGGAAGCTTTTCGGAGGCAGTACCGTCTCACCAAGAATGTGGTCCGTTGGTTGTGCGACGAACTGCGCGAGGAGCCTGAGTTGAGGAGGCTGCGACGTTCGTGGACTGTGATGACTGTGGAACAGCAAGTGTTGTGCGCACTTCGCTTTTACGCCACGGGGAGTTTTCAGGGCATGGTGGCGAGCGACGAGCACATAGCGAGGGATCAGTCTACAGTCAGCATCGTTGTGCGGGCTGTGTCCCTCGCTATTGTGCAGTGTCTGGGGATCCGGCGCGGCTGGATCGACTTTCCCCAGACAACCGGCGAGAGGGACGACGTCGAGAGGGGCTTCCAACGGCTCGGCAGGATACCCGGCGTCATCGGTTGCGTCGACGGGACGATGATTGCCATCGTCGCCCCGTCAAAGAACGACCCCACCGTCACGAAGGCGGCGTATTGGTGCCGCAAGCAATACTACGCTCTCAACGTGATGGTGGTAAGTACGATCACATATATACTACGTCTCACCTTAGCATGAACTAACTGAGAAGACTGTGCGAGCGCGAACGGCCTGACTGGAGCACTCGCTGCACGAGCGCTCGTGCAGCCGCCGGGGCTTTATCCAAAGCAGCTAGCTCGCGCTTTTAGCTATAGGTCAATGCCCGTTCTGAATGGGTTTGAAAAAGAGCGTAACGCTAATGCGGTGTGGATATGCCATTTTAAAAATTAAAGTTATGGGTTGTTAGTGCTCGTTCATCCTCCGCACAAGCTTTTGTTCGACGGACGGAGGGAGGGTTGTTTTCATGTCGTGTTAAGCTTTTAAGCAATAGTTCGTGTCCTGCATGATAAAGTGTAAACTCTCCTTTGAAGAAAAAAGCAAATTTGCCTAACCTATTGCGTGGATCAAAGGTAGTGGCTATTTATCATATAATTTTAATCTTTGTAACACAGACAGCGCTCTGTCTGTGTCCTTCTTCATGCGGTCCGTCGTTGTTTTTGTTGTTTATTTTTTGTTTTTTTGCGCTCAGCGCTCTGTCTATATCCTCCTTCATCCAGTCCGTCGTTTTTTGCGTTGTTTTAATGTTTTAAGTTTGTAAACCACGTAATTTATGGTGGTGTGTTGGTCAGCATGTAAATCGTGTTTGACAGGGCCCCATGACCATGAGTGCAATGAACTGTTTGTGGATTCAGTTGAAATAATGTCGACACATGTCTCTCTATTGCAGGTGTGTGACGCCGACTGCCGGGTCATGAGCATCGACCCACGGTATCCTGGGTCGGTGCACGACTCCTTCGTGTGGCGCTACTCGTGGCTCCGGAGCAACTTCGAGCAAGGCCGGCTGGTAGACGATGGCAGGTTTCTGCTCGGTAAGCATACTCCAGTTGTTGGTACTGTACATGATGGCTCTGCACCACTTATAAGCTACAATATCACACATACTGTTGCGAACATAGATAACTGGCATGCGCTCTGGCCATACCTGTGACACGTCTCCTTGGAAACACTCTGACGCAGCTGTCAAGTACTGGGGGAAAGGTTGCAAACATGCGCCTTTCTTTGCTTAGTTGTCAACAATTTTAAAGGGATACTACAACAAAATTTCGGTGCTTATTCTTTGGTCTATACGTGTTCAGAAGAGCAGTATCACATCGGACACGCCAATATGTTGTTAAAAAAGAGACAAAAAGGCATTAAAAAAAATTAGGCGATTAGGAAAGAGCACCTTCTAGATGTCTAGGAACCTTGACAGGTAGTGACCGATAACTGTCTCGCTTAGAACCATACATGCTTTGAACCTGACGTCATCTTGACAGCTCAACGGCCAGCAGAACAGACAAGGGGAGGGAGCAACTCCACACTCAACGGGACTCTCTTTTGTGTGTACCAAGATTATAGAATATTAATTTGTCACTCAAAATTACACAAAAGCAGCTTTGGGGTTTGTTGCGGTGGCCTGATCGCTGGCATGCTTCGACCGCTTTTGTTGCTTGAACAGCTAGGGCATCCTGACCATGTCTGCCTCGCCGCAGCTTTGCTCATCCCAAGAGAAACTACATCACAATTGCACCGGATGTGACGTGCTCTCTGGTGGCTGCTCTCCGAGCGCTTGCCAGTCTGGCCTGTTTATAATGAAAAATATAGCCATAAGGCTCAAAAAGGAAATGTATGATTGTCATTTACGGGTATTGTGGATCATGTTCAGCCTATTTCTGAACATGACGGGTACATTTCAAATTTCGTTGAAGTATTCTATTAAAGAGAACAGCATTAATATCATACATTTCCTTCTCTGAATGCGCAGGTGACAGCGGCTATGCCTTGGAGCCTTGGCTCATCACCCCTGTCCCTGGATTCCACGCGACCTCCACCGCATGCGGCCGGTTTAATAAGACACATTCTTCGATGAGGTCCGTTGTGGAGCGCTGCATTGGGCTGTTGAAGAGCAGATTCCGGTGTCTGCAAAGGCACCGGGCTCTGTTTTATCATCCCACAACAGCCACCGTCATTATATCGGCGTGTGCAGTGCTCCACAATATCTGCCTTTCATCGAATGAGCCAGAACCGGAGCCAGACTCTGACCCTGACGAGCCAGGGTTGGAGTCTGGGTCGAGCTCGGACGGTTCTGAGTCGAGCTCGGAGGGGTCAGCGGCGGATGACGAGAGGCCGGCTCCTGCCCACCCTCGGGTCAGCCTTTCGGACAGGGGGAGGGCTCTGAGGCAGTGCCTTGTTGCCCAGTTCCAAACCTGCCACAGCCGTGCCGCTCCGGAGCCCCACGCAAGCCACGGTGGCAGTCCCGCCCACCAGGGACACCACCAGCGCCAAGGAGTCCGTCGCCACAACGGAAGTCCTGCCCATCAGGGACACCGTCGGCGGCAGGGAGCCCCTCATCGTCCTCGCCACGGTGGCACTCCCGCACACCAGGGACGCCACCGGCGACAGCGAACCCTTCGTCGTCCTCGCCTCAACTGACGCCCTCGCCACCAGAGAAGCCCTCCCCGTGGCAGTATGTACTACAATTGTTGTTCCACAGTCATGGTCGTCCATAAGCTCCACAGTGTCAACTCCGCCTTGCCGTTCGTCGCACAACCACCATGCTACCTTTACGGACATTTAGTACTGCCTCCGAAAAGCTATTCGGTGCATCAGTTATGTTGATAGAGCCTTTTTTTCATTTGTAAGCAGGGTGCACAAAATTTTTTGGACAATAGCAGAACATTTTGTAGGGTTATGAAGCTAGCCTTTGCAAGAGACTGAGAACTCAATGAGGCTACTGGTGAGACCTATTTTATTTTTTTTTTACTACAATATATTATTTGTATCGGGTTTGGACATCGACTCATTTTCTCTACACTTCTATTGCCCTGCTCCATTTTACAATCTATTATGGCTACCACAGAGCCAGGTGTATTACTCGATAATCGCAGATTAGATTCGTGCCAACTTGAATGTATAAAGAAGACAACAAGTAGTTTGTTTTTGAAAGTGCTTTCTTTTTTTATAACAATGCCGTAACGTGAAAAATAAACATGTTTGAAAACACAGGTTGCAATGCTTTCTTTAAAGTGAAATTGAGCATGGACTAGTAAACACCGTATACATTCTTTGTCATTATCAAGGATATATCACAGACATTATTTCACACTTCACTTAATTCAGCACAGTGCCATTTCGTTTGTGTTTTGTCACACATTTGAAAACACAGGTTGCAATGCTTTTTTTTAAAGTGAAATTGAGCATGGACTAGAAACACCGTATAAATTCTTTCTCATTATCAAGGATATATCACAAACATTATTTTACACTTGACTTAATTCACCACACTATCATTTCGTTTGTGTTTTGTCACACATGGAAGCATGACAGATTCCATAGCTGAGGCATGTTGAGATCAACAATGATATAAGAAAACAAACAAACAAAAAACAGGGACACAGACGAAGGGAAACAGGACAAGGCGCACTCTCATCCGTTTTTTTCAGCGCTTTTTTTTTGTTTGCCATGAACGAACTGGCCCAAATCTCCACTTTATTGCGATATAAGAAAAATCGCAAACCCAGAGGCTAGTTTCAGGCGGAAGAAAACTACAAGTATAAAATTCCTATGGCACAAGCCACTTGGCACCATAGATGAAAAAGCACACACTACATATTGCTGTCCTACAAACATGAGGAATGGCTAGTTTTAGCATATATCTGTCATGCCTGTTGCCAAGAGCATATTACTAACTTGCTTCACTGGTTATAGTGACTCCAATAAACAAGTACAGAAGGCACAGTTCTTTGTAAACAAAATATGAACTGAAAAGCATGGACGGACTTTCCCGTAATGTCAACATTGTTGTAAAGATGTTTAGACAGCAGAACATCAGCCTTCCTTTAAGCAGTGGCTCACTCATAGTATTATTCACTGTATGGCGAGCCCAGTGTGCGTAGGAACTTGTCCATTAACACGCACCACATACCAGTGGCACAAAAGAACATATTTCTTGTCTCCGCCTGGAGAACAAAACAAAAAAAGAAAAAATGAATACCAACTTGGAACATAAAATAATCATCCATAAAACTAAATTATATCTGGCTGGACTCAGCGGTGCTGGGCTCGGCGGGGCTGGGCTCGGCGGGGCTGGGCTCGGCGGGGCTGGGCTCGGCGGGGCTGGGCTCGGCGGGGCTGGGCTCGGCGGGGCTGGGCTCGGCGGGGCGGGGCTGGACTTGGCTGGGCTGGAGGGGTGGCTGGGCAGGGCTCGGCAGGTCTTGGCTTCGCAGGGCTCGACTTCTCTCGGCAGTCAGCAGCAGAACGACCTCGACGAGCACGCGGGTCGTGTTTTGGAGTTCCAGGGCCACCGCTTGTGTGGCGCGAGCTTGCTCCTGGTTCGACTGCGCAACAGCCTCCATGCGGTGGCTGAGGGTATCGATTGAACGCAGGAGCTGGAAAGACGGGGCATTTAATGCGCAGCAACAACATATTTCTAGACACCCAGAGGGCGTGAAAACCTTGCATATGTCACAGTTCGGTTTGCATTATGCTTTTGTAGATCTCCATTGCCCTCTGCTGCAGTCCCACTTTCACAGTGGCATCTTTATTAAACTCGTACCTATTTAGTCATGTTACGGAGTTTTATGTTTGAGCCAATACCTGGCCTTGGAACTCCACGTCCCGCGCGTCCCTCGTCTCGTTCTGCTGCACCTGCCGAGTCTGGTTGGCGACTGCCTGCATGGCAGCCTCGTCGTGCCGCTCCTGCCTCGACATTCGGGGGGTGGCACGAGGCGCCGTGGGCCGCACCCGGGGCCTTGCAGGTGGCCTGACATCTGCCAGGAAACAAAGAATGCTTCTGTCATATCAGACAATCCTAGTTGTCTTCATGAGAGGTCTCACCCCGCGAGGTGGAGGGCACCGGCTCGGCTGCCTGCTGCCCGTGACCTGCCTGGGCGCCTGTGGGTCTCCCCTAGAAGGGAATTTGTAAGTCTTAGTCAGCACACAGGACTTGTCTGCATTTTCTAGATATTGAGAGTGGGTTTGTTGAGGCTGCATTCCACTCAGGGGAAACAAAATTACACTGTTTCAGAGGTAGTGCCATTCATGTCTAGGATTGACTCCCCAAATATGTCTAGTGGCAGCTCAAAAGGTTGCACTTCCCCTGTTTTTGTGAAAATGTACCTCTGTGATACAGAAATTGAATCTTACGACAGCGTGCACACAATACAACTGAGGGTTGCAACAACCACAAAAGCAAGAAGAAAAAGGACTACACAAAAACTACAGATGTTTTGGCCTTAGAAACTCCAGTATTACTGCAATAAATATAGTGTTTTTTGTCGTAAGTGCTTTTGTTTTAGATTTTGCCTTTACGTGGATGAATTAATCCGCCCTCCGATTCGCTGAATTATAAAAAGTGCCAGCACCTTTAATGCATATATTCACATTCACAGGGGCGGATTTAGAGGGGGGTCGGATGTCCTGACCCCCCTCTTGATTTCTGCACGTGTAAAATTTAGGGCACTAAACAAGGGAGAGGGGGAGGGGGTTCCTAAACATATGTTACGCTGACCAACACCTGACCCCCCCCCCCTCAGGAAATTTCTGCATCCGCCCCTGCATTCATATTTATCACATTTCACTGCGGTATACATCTTAGCTCACTGATAATAAAACCCTGCACGGATATTCTCCATTGGGATTGAACAGCTACATGTGCAATAGTATGTTAGGTTCAAGCGTGCACTCACCTCGGCCTCGTCCTCAAAAGCGGGGACGGAAAACCCAGGAGCGCCCAGGGCCGAGTCCTCGCCCACCAGCGTCAAAATACGTGCGTATGATGACGCCAGTGAGCGCACCCGGCTGCCTCCTCCCCCAGTTTGCCTGCGAGTAAAGTAAGTAATTCAATAGCTTGGTCCACACTATGAGTAGACAACGCAAATTACCTCGCCTGTTTCGCCAGCTCGGCTGCCCGCGCCCGCGCCTTCGACACCCGCACGGCCCAGTACCGTTTCCAAGCTTCCGGCTCCTTCCTCGGAGGCCCGAGGTAGTTGAGCCGGGAGGTTAGCTCGGTCCAGAGACGAACTTTGTCGTCTCTGGACAGGGCCGGGCTGAGCTCAGTTGCACCGCGTACCAGAGAGGGGTTCTCGAACATAAATGTATCGAGTTCCTCCCTCTGGGCCGCGGTCACACGTTGCCTGCTCCCGTCGTCCATGTTGTTTGAACCATAGTCACTGACAATTTAAGAAACGCAGGGTACTGCAAGACTGGAACCTTTTATTATCGCTCCGCAGCCAATGAGATAGCCGCATTAGCCGATGAGAACGCCGAGGAACCAATCACGACGCAAGAAGAGCGAGCATGACAGGCCACATCCTCCCGTTTCTTGAGCCGTCATCAGTGACAGTGATTTGAACTAGGCGCTCATTTGCATCCCGCATGTTGTTCTAACCTTTTATGCGAGTTTACTTCACCTAATATTTTTTGGAACCGCTACAAAATCAGTTGTTCATTTCAATAGAACACGTGTATTTTTTTAATCTGACAAGTTTCTTTAAAAAAGAGCCAATGTGAAGGTCGCCGCCGCAAGGGATTGGCTGCCATCGCTTGACTAAAAGCAGAAAATGCCTTTCCGGTTGCCGGAGAAACGGACGCTTGCGTAGGGACAAGGCTCCAGATAGGTACCGCCGGGAAAGCGTAGGTACGGCAGGGGGACAGCGTAGCTACTTCCGCTCTTCGGCGGTTGGCTCTTGACGCCTCTCAAGTGAGTGACAGACGCCAATCTTGCCATGTCGTCACGGCGTCAAAGAGGGCGGTTTCGCGGTGCGCGCCGTTGCTTGGTTACGCTCCTGCTGCCGCTACGTCACTTCTGTTTCTAGTTTCTCGAAAGTCCAACATAGGTCCCCAGGTCTCGCTTGCATCGCACTCTCATTTGCCACGAAAGCGTGACTCGCGTGGCCTAGTCAAAAGCGTCTGACTCGCAACCGAAGGGTCGTGGGTTCATATCCCACCTAAAATTCTTAATTTTTTTCTTTAAGGCAAAGGAATTACTTTAAAAAGTAAAATCGTTTGAGACATACGGCGAACTTTAATTCGCATTACAGGTCATGTTTTAATCACTCTCACTACACGCGTGATGTTACGTTTCACATGAGCATTGTGGGTTGTTTGAAATTCTTGCGTGAGGGCATGTAGCTCTGATGTCATCACCCTATCGACCAACCAAGATTTTCTAGTCATGCCACCGACATCCGGTTTTCTGCGACATGAGCTCCTTAACACTACCACGTTAAAGTCATCAATTAGCAGGGGACAGCCAGTGCTCATTCGCAAATTAAATTGAGCGGCATCTTGTCAAGAACAAACCTCAACAGCCAGGCTATGCCAGCTTCTCCTGTATAAGAAAATGTTCATTTGGACAAGCGCTATTTTGGGCCAGATTCCATCGGAGTGCGAGGGTGCGTATAGATTAGGGTGAACAATTGCGATTACTCCTTGCTGCATGATTAGTCGCATGCATACGGCACTGACTGT